TGGAAAAGCTTTCAAAGACATGTGTGAGTCATGGAACATCAAGCACACCACCTCATCGCCGAGATATCCGCGCTCCAATGGCCTAGCTGAGCGGATGGTACGCACCATAAAGTCGATGATTAAGAGGTGCAAACAGACAGGACAAGATGTCCAAAAGGCACTTCTCCACCTTCGAGCAACGCCTCAATCGGACCTGCCATCTCCTGCCGAAATGATGTTTGGGAGGCAAATGAAGACAACCCTTCCAGGTCGCCATGATCATGACAGACAGATGAGCGATGTCCACGACCAGCTCCAGCGAAGGCGGGATGTGATGAAGACCGACCATGACAGACATGCCGGTCGGGTACTGTCCCTCCTGAAGGTCGGCCAGAAAGTCAGAACTTTGCATCCAGACGACAATACATGGCTGCCGGCTGAGGTTTCAAGAGTTTGCCCAGAACCAAGATCATATGAAGTGACAACACCAAATGGCAGGGTGTTAAGGAGAAACAGGTCCCATCTGCGAGAGATGCCGATACAAATAGAGACGGCAACAGCACCCACACCAGGGACAGAGCATCTTCCAAGAGAGGATGGTGACAACTGCACAACACCCGCAGGAACACAGGATTTCGATGGTTCAATCCCTCGTTCTGATTCTTTTGCCTATGTCACACGATATGGTCGCAAGGTTAATCCCCCATCTCGTTATCAAGAATAAAAACTTCATCGATTAATAGATTGATAAACAACAACTATACTTTATTTGTTTAATGATTTAGCATACCCGGTAGAATTACATTGATGATAGTAAAACCTCATATTTGACATCAGGCGAATCAATATCTTAATCAGTATACATGTATATAACCAAAATGTTTTATATAACTGCCACGCTTAATATTGGCTATCTTTCAACAGAAAATCTCTTCTGTATACAGAACCGAATTTAACAATTGTATGTCGTGCTCGCGATATTTCTTCTCTCCACACAAATGACCAGGTATTGTAGTTTTGTTACGCTGATTTGTCGTATTGCTAAGTCCTAATTGAAATGGGATGAAAAACGTTTTTTCACAGGAAAATGTTGTTTATAACTGTTTGCCAGAAAGCAATATGGAATCACTTTAGTTTATTCCAGCAAAAGTTATGTAAATTATAAAAAGTTGAATTACATTATACAAGTATGTCGATTCAGCGACAAAAATATGCCTGTTATAGTGGAGGACACTATTTTACCATTCTAAAATTTGTTTTTCTTGTTGAAAGGTACTTGTAAGTTTTAGTTGAACAGTTTTTAGTACTGTGCTTCTCAAAAAAAAAAAAAAGAAAAAGAAAAGAAGAATATGTTTGGAATGTTTCCTCTTGTTGAAATTTCTAAATTGTGTTACTGTTTTAGTGGATAATTTCCGTCATGTACAGTGCCTATTGAGCAGGGAAGATATAACTGGTTAATGAAAGCACTATCAACTTGTCATTGAAAGAAGGGGGATGTTGTGGTACTATATGAACAACATCAATAGTTCATTGATGTGCGTAATGAGGCCGCGATTGGCGGAAGGATACATGAATAAAGCACTTTCAAGATGGCCACTTATACATGAACCTTGTCTACAGTGATCTCTTATTTATCCGTTCATCTGATCTTTCAACACATAGGTGCTGGAACCAGACGGCAGAGAGGACAGATTCCCAATAATTCAATAAGGGGGGGGGGGATTTATAGTTGCCCCCACCTGCCCCGGAAATGTTTTAATAATAATCTGTATAGTGCCCTAAAAATAGGGGGCGGGGCTAGCTCCCCAAATTATTTTTTAGAGTTTCAAAATTCATTGAGCAACCATAAGCTCACATAGCGACATGCTTGAATATCATATTTGGGGTCTGAAAATCATATATATATATATATATTTATAATTCGAGCAGCAATAAAACTAGTAGGTGCCCATATATACAGGTTTATCGTTTTTTCGTTATATCTAAGCTAGTGAATTTCGATGATAAAAATAAAAATTTAAATCAAAGTGTCCTTTTTTCTAAGGACAGGATGATTCTTGTCAAGGGGATGCCTGAAAATCCTCAGACAGCGATTTTTTATGATGATGTAATATTTTTAATACAATTAATTTTGTTCTCACTCACTTCGCTCTCACCCTTCCCCCTCTCTCTCTTACTCTCTTACTATCTCTCTCTCTCTCTTTCTCTCTCCCTCTCTCTCTTTCTCACTGGCTTCGTGCTCAAGACATTAATTACAAAATATCATTTGTTTCATAGAAAATTATTCAGTGAATATCTATCATAAAATATAACACAAACAAAGAAAATAGCATTTTAGAATTTGTTTATATATAAACATATACATATATACACACTGGACGTTCTGATTTCTTTCTAATTTCATAATACAGAAAATGACATCTAGAATACAGTACAAATATTTTATCACAATTAGTTAGATTTTCCATTGACATCCACTGCCTTTAACATATCTGACACACACATTTATAAACAAAAATGAAATTAGTTTGATACATGTCTCAATACAAAACAGTTAATATTTCACACTTTTATATTAGGTATGTATTAGATATTTATATATTGAATTAAATTTCACATAGAAATCATAACTTTTTGTACAGCACTTAAAAATAACAGATTATATCACAATAAACATTGCTGGAGGGGAATTACGCTTTACTGGCCATCAAACATGATGTTATTCAATACTCTAATTAGAAATTATAAATACAAAAATAATAAAAATAACTTTTCAGTGAAATGATTGTAATGTTTCATTTAAGGTGTACCAATCACCAAAAAATGTTTTGCTCTTGATGTACAACATTTAAGGAGTTCCATGCTATACTGTATTTAAAAAAGGGAGGCTTGAAATATTACTTCTTCAAAGAGATTCTGCAATTTAAATAGTAAAATGTCTTGAGTAGACTAGAATAGAGCATGCGCAGAACCCAAGTGTGACTTGGGTTCCATGCAAATTGCAAGCCCTATAGGTAGAGTCTTATGTTATACTTTTTTTTTCTTCTTCAGACTCCTCAACCATTTACCTACATAATACCAAGAAAAGTTCTTGAGGTTCATTTTGTACGTTCTAGCTATACAATATTGTTATTCTCCAGGTAATTGGTACACTTTAAAGTAACACACTTAAACTTTGGGAAGCAATGCAAAGGAAATGAACAGATAAATAGCCTAACATGAAGACGGATGTACAGTGTATATGAATTACAGAAAAGTGGCTGCAAATGATAGGAAAATTTTGATCAGGAAGATTTATCAAGTGATGTAGAGCAAGTGAAATATACGGTAAGAAAATCAGAGAATTGAAAGTAATGAAAGACAAGCAAATTGTTGGAAGAAGTGAAATTTCTGCTGACAAATGTTATAATTGTTAAAACCGTCAACTAAGATAATTAAGTTAGTGCTAAAATGATCAAAATACTATGATCTATTCATATTTTGACTTTTTTTTTTTTAATGGTAAATCATCTAAATAGCAATAATCATATCATTTGACAAAAACTTCTCATAAAATCTACTGATGCATCCTTTGCTATATCTAACAAGGGTTGTACAAAGATATATCAATGCAGTTATCAGTTTTGACAGAAATAGGAAAAGTTGGTAAAAATACAATTGCCTATTCTTAAACTTAATAAAAGTTGTTGTATTCCATTAAAAAATAATTTCAGACTTTGATATTGAAAGACATGTTTTTATGGAAGGAATTCTGAAAGCAGCCATAAAATGGACAAAATCATTAAAATAAACATATCATTTTATACATCTCACTCCCAGATCATAATCAGATGATTAGTCATGTGCTGTCACATGTTATTCGTTTACTGAGAGTATCCCACGTTTTTTATTTCATTTTTTCGTAACACTTTCTTGCAAGAAGAATGCAGTAACTCTACAAGAAAAATAATAGTTTTGACAAATGTAACAAAATATTTACATTTAAACACAAAGATGCTTTATTTAGATATCACTATCCATTTGGCAAGTTGAAATTTACCCTTTAAATTAGTTAACTCTACTACGCAGACATTTTTTCAAAAATATAAAACTCTATTTTAACATCAAGTCAAACTACTTAGAGCCCAATAGAGATTAACTCCATTCAAAATAAATTTTATTATTCACAACTTTGTAACTGGTCCAATGTAATGGCTTTAGTGAGGTATATTTGCATTAAAATCATGTTTAATTATGATCTTCCCAAACGAGATTCAATATTTCAAGAACTGCTCCCTATATATATCACAAAGCAAAGCATATATCTAAAATCATTATCTATATATAAAGATTTTATTTCTCTCTTCTTTTTAAAACTTTGTTCATGCTGCTTTTTGATGATTGTCAAAATTAGATCAATACAAATGTAGGTAATTATTAAAACAATTGTTCTCTTTTTATTAATGTTGAAAAGTTTGATCTAATTTATTACTCAGAATTTGCAAAGCAATTTCAACTGTCAATGAATTTGTAATAAAGATATACACCCAAACTTGTGGACTTCAATACAACAGCTGTACAATGCATACACAGCAATTCTGTGTTGAAAAGGTGTTTTTCTTCATTCGTGAGTAAATTGTGATTCATAATTACAACAATTCTTTGTAAATCACATTTGAAAGCTTTGCATGTCCGAAAAAAGGGGGAGGGTGTAGTGGTTGAAAGCAGTTCCTTCCAGCCCCCCCCCCCCTTCTGTGCAGTGACAGTGACACTATAAAATTTTGAACCCAGGAACATCGTTATCAAAAGAGATATCAAGTTATCGCTCATAAATCATCCATATATTCATGTATGAGAATTCAGCATTATGTACAAGAGTTACATGCAAAAAGCTACACTAAAGGTTAAATATTCATCAAGGCTTTAGTTGACACCCCCCCCCCCCCCCCCCACCAAAAAATAATAAATAAATAAATTCAAGATGGTCTCCTGGGCCCGTATTCAATTCAATACTTAAGTAAAAAATGAAAGCTTTTTACTGGCTTAGTATTTGGCTTAGATAAACTTAAGGGTATTTATCTCTTGCATATTACGGCAACATTTCTTTTCTGAGCATTTCAATATAATGACAAGTTGTATGGGTTACTTGGTCTCCTTCAAAACAGAATATATCAATGACCCTCTAGATATTACTTTATACTTAACCATAATTATAAATTTCTTGACAACCTTGCCCAAATGTCTCAATTGTGCACACTGCATCACTCCTTTCCTAAGTATACATCCATGACTGTCGCATATGCTCTAGGTATCTTTGAATGTTTATCTCCTGCCTAAGGCAGTGTCACTTCTGTTGTCTGATGATTATCTCAATCATTGGTGCTTGATCTCCCCTTTGACAGTTTGTATGACACTAAAACCATCTTGTCAGAGGATGATGCCGAAATGTCCAATACATGCAAAACTAGCATCATTTCTGTCTCTGTCTCTGTATCTCAATGACATCAAAACCATCTTGTCGGAGGAAGCCCCTTGAGGATGATGCCAAAATGTCTATATCATGCAAAAGTAGCATCATTTCTTTTTTTGTCTTGGTATTTTAATATCATGGGAAGAGATATTTTACATCAAGCTAAATCAGCCAAACAAACGATTTGGTAACTAAACCAAAATGTCTCTATACAGTCTAAAATATATATATATCACTTCCTTTTCTGTCTCAGTATCTCAATGAAACTAAAACCATCTTGTCGGTAGCAGCCTCTTAAGGATGACGCAAAAATGTCTATATCAAGCAAAAGTAACATCATTTCCTTTTCTGTCTTGGTATTTTAATGACACGTGATGAACCAATTCATCCAAACAAACTCTTTGGTAACTAAACCAAAATGTCTCTATACAGTCTAAAATATATATATCACTTCCTTTTCTGTCTCAGGATCTCTATGACGGGTTTTATCGGAACTTGGTCACCCTCATGACAGCATGTTTCAACGACCCTCTTGATGTGAGAGGATGAGATCCCAAGCTGGTAGATCAGGTTGTAGTTGTTCACAAGCCGAAGCATCTCTTCTCTTTCCAGACAACCTGCATTGGAACAATGAAACAGATATCAGGGGGGTGTTTCACAAAAATTGTGACAAATGACAGTTGTTGTTATAAGCTACTGAAATCCTTGCTTCTGATTGGTTATCAGCAGATTTGTCATTGATATTTGTCATTTGTCATTGAAAAGGGGCTTTGTAAAACGGGTCCCTGCCCTTACTAGTTTCAACGAGAAGAGAGTTGAAAGTTCCAAAAAGAGCTTCATGAAATGTGCATAGAGATGGGAAAAATGAATTTAGAACACAAAAAATAAGATACAATATTTACAGCAAGGGCATTTGGGACTTTTTCAACAGCAAAACCAAAAGATATCCGATAAACAAGTCTTTTTTTTCTAAGCAAATACAAGGTAATAACAATATATGTTTTGAATTCTCTGTAACATCAAGTTTTGGTCTGACATACACATAGGTTGAGGATAGGCCTGAGATGAATAACAATTGGCAATAAGCTATTCAAATAGTTCAAATTTTCTAGTATTAGTCCTAGGCCTAGCTAGTTGAGAAATAAAATATTTGAAGATGTAAACATACAGTGTATCCTTACTTTTCCTTTGTATGGAAGTAACAATAGTGTTGAAAGTATGAAAGAAATGATCAAAAGGGAAGAATGGAATTTTATTTTAAACACAATAGCTGCAAAAATTTGTTAATGTTAGCTTGATGAATAAGACGGAGAAAAGGAATCCTATACTTCTGTGACTTGATAACAAATCACTTCATTTAAAAAATAACAAAAACATACTTATTTCAAAGTTGTACCCCGAATCCTTACCAGTCTTCGATGTGTCTGTGCTGTAAAGCCCCTTTGCAAGATGCACAAAACCCTTAAACCACTCCTCTCTCTCCCTCTTCTCGTTCTTCTTCTGCTGCGACTTCATCACCACCTCCTGCTGATCTACAGGCCTGTGACCACGGCGCCGCCGTTGATGCTCTTCAGCCATCTGTCTGAGTCGATCGATCTCGTAACCTTCCTGCTTCGGGGAGGGGGTGGACGGGGGCGAGTGGAGGGAGGCGTGGTCCTCTGTGGGCGTGTCATTGCGAGTGATCTCCATCTCAACACTGGTTACGTCGTTATCTGGTTCTTGAGCCTGTGTTAAGGGGTCTATTCTCTGTGTAAAATACATAAACATAAGAGTGAGTCGAGCAGTTTGTAGAATTCAGTAAATATCACACACACAAACACAAATTCTGTCATGCTTTTTTCTCTCCAGCCGAATTATGTGCTTCAACTTAAATGTACACCATGCCAAACAAATCATTTAAAATATTCAATTACATTTCTATTTCAAAACATAAATTTTAGACATCTTGTACATATTAATATATTTGAATTCACAAAACACTTACAAAATTACAGAACTTGTAAATGCCAACCATGCTATGTAAATATTCTTCATGTGTGCACACAATAATTTTTTCTTAAGTTTGAAAATCTTTCTGATGACTTTTTGATGGTCTTTGAAAAATATAGTCACCTATATTTATAAATTAAAACAGGAAAGCATTAAATGATTTTCCAATACTTTTTGATGGTCTTTGGAAAATATAGTCACCTATATTTATAAATTAAAACAGGAAAGCATTAAATGTTTTTCCAATTTTTCACTGATTTCGAATATAATTACCTCCTATTTCAATGTCATGTTTTTGATGTCCTTTTATACATGGTTTCAATGTAAAACGGAAAATGTAAAATCCGACAATGAATTTCCATGTCGTTATTGGACAAAAAAAATTGAATTGAATTTTTTTTTTTTTTAAATTCTTAAAGACCTTCAATTCAAACTCCTTTTTCATAACTCACTGCAAGGGGCTTCCTGAGCCAAGGAGGGGACGTTACTTTCTTTGGTTCCTCTGGTGTGGGTAGGACCTCCTTGAAGGGTCTCTTGGGCCAGGTACTTGGTCTTCTTGGTTCTATGACAGGGGCTAAGCCTCCAGCATGTGGTCTGGGCCCATCTCTGGACCTGTTTCCGCTTCTCTCCCTTTGAGACCCACTGTTACGAGGACTGTTTCCAAAAGAGTTCCTGTTCCCGATTGAGGCTAAGTTGGGGTCTTCAGAAGCTCTTCTTTGGCTGTGGTTCTGGTTCTTCTCTCCGCGGGGTGTCATTGCATCTCCAGAATCCACTCTTTCTAAAATCTCTAAGAATGCCACCCAACTGTGATTTATAAAAAGAATAGAAATAGTTAAGAGCAACAGAGAAAAGAATTCAATTTACAGACTAATAACTTTGTTATGAAGCAGAAAGGAAAAAAAATCAATACCAAATCAAGTGTATTTCATATACCACAAATATGGTCATCATAACATTAAGTAGGAATTGCCATCACAGCATTGTTGGGTTTACCACCAGATTCACAAATAATAAAGTTACAACCTGTGCCTCTGTAAGACTTGCGTCTGATTCCTCAAAATATTCCCATCTTACACCTGTTTTAATTCAGTTACATTGATCATCAATAAGGCATAGAATTGCATTTAAGATTTGTTTGCTTGTTTATAAAGCTTTGAATGGTCAAGTCCCAAATTATTTGTCTGAATCATTATCTTTTCAAAATTCACATAACGTATAAAGTACACAGGACAAGCTGCTTCTAAATATACCTCACACAAAAAACAAAAGTAATTCTTGGAGTGCTTTCAGTTGTATTTTTCTCCAAAGCTTTGGAATAACGTACCACTCGACATAAGAAAAGCCTCATTTGTTGCTGAAGACGCACTTGTTTTTACAAGCTGTTGAATAGATGTTTTGTTATTGTGTATCTGTAAAGTAGCACTGTTAGGAGTTTTGTATTTATATCTTAGATGCACTATATAAATTTATATGACTATTATCATTAATATGAATAAACTGGCTGCTCATCTTTTTTATGAAGAAACATGAAAAGTGAGTGCAACATATTCATTCCGACAAATAATTGAAGATATCAAAATTTCAAATTGTAAAATTAGCACTACAAATGTGTTTTGCCTCTTTCTATACAAAAGAAATTGATATTATGACAGTGTAGGTTTATATCTGCTCTGAGAAACCTACTCCTCACCTCAATTGACCGTCTCCTGTATCTATCCTCTGTATCATCTTGTTTAAGAGTGAGCCTTGGACTGGTATCCGATAGTAGAGAAACAAATCATCCAGCTGAAACAAATCATTTTATAACACGGTGAAAGTAAGACAATTTGAATCATGCACCGAATCTGATGAGTAACAATTTTTTTACAGCAAGTCGTAAATTTATGAAGGTCAAGATAAATTTTTACTCTAGTGTATCTCAAATCATTGTTCCTACTCTTGTTTGAGCTGAACATACTATTACCCCGGTCATTGGATTCAATACTTGCCCACACACACTGTGTGTACAATCTCCACTCCCTGGGGAGCATTCAAGGCATTAATCCTAAATTGACAAGTCCCATGGCTGTTTACTTACAAGCATACACATGCTTTCTTAGCAGTCTGGTGAAACAAACCATAATTAAACAATGCTTCTGCGGAGAACTCACAGAATACTCAGTTTTTATATAGCGCTTTAAGCGCTTCCAAACTTGGAGATTATTACCCCGGCTTTAGCTGTGCTGCCATTGCGGCACTCTAGCATTTCAAAGAATTAATTCCTGCCGGGTACCCATTTACATCACCTGGGTTGAGTTTGGCAAATGTAGATGTCTTGCCAAAGGACATTAGTGCCGCGGCGGGTCTCGAACCGCGGACCTTGTGATCGACAGTCCGGCAACTTAACCACTCGACCACGGCACCTCTACATGGGTTTTGACTTACGTCTCTTCTGGAGAAAGTTCCCTGTTCCTGTCGGTCTTTCTTGAGGCACATTTCCCTCATGCCTTCTGTATTGATGGTCTGTTTCTTTTTGCCATCTGTGAACTGTTCCTCAAGCATTCGGATCAACATTGCATCTTCCAACTCAGAGAATGTCTTGAGGGGTTTTCTGGAATTGAATGAAATAGTGTAAAGCCTGAGCAACTACATGTACTTGGATTTTAGCGAGTCTTAATCACATACAAAAATTATATGTTAAAAAATATGAAACACCACAATCTTATCATTGAAACTCCGCCAGATATTTATACAACTTTTAGATGATCCAATAAACCTATAAATCAATATGACATCTCAAAAATTGGATAATGTCTTTAGACGTTTTCTGATATTCATTGAATCATTGAAATTTCAAGCTGATGTCTCAGTTCAACAACCTGAGGGGCGTTTCACAAAACTTGTCATCAGTGACAAGTGACAGTTTTTGTTATAAGCTACTGAAATCCTTGCTTCTGATTGGTAATCAGCAGATTTGTCACTGATTTTTGTCATTTGTCATTGAAAAAAGGCTTTGTGAAACGCCCTACTAGTCTTGAAGAAGTGTGTATTTTCCAAACTAATTTGGTTTCCTTTATTCAGAGCATATGAATCCCCCTATCTTTAATTTCAATATCCCGACAACAAGTAAGTTCTAAAAACTCTTGGCTTTAGATTTCTCTACTTTATTAAGATTTATTCAATAAGAAAGCTCTACATATGCGCAAAACATCAGTCAGTAGTGCATGGCATACATGTTTTGGCTGTAACGTCATTACCATCGCATGTATATCTATAACCACACATTTCCGTACATAATATAAAACAATAAGTAATACTGCTGATAGCATAGACTATTGGGAAAATGTATTGGAAATATGATATAGAAATATAAAGGTGAAGAACTAACCTTGTAACAAATGAAGGCTTCCATTTTTCTTGTTCTCTATAATGCAATTAAGAGAAAGAAACAATGCTGATCAATTATTATTTATACATGTTATTCATAATTCTTGCTAAGAAGAGATAACCTTTGATAAAATAATTGTCAACATAAACTAATTGCTAGGAGATATGTTTTATATTTCAAAAAGTAATATCACTCTTCCCCTGGCAAGATAAGCCTCTTTTGTTGATCTGTTGAAGTCAACAGATCATCATTAAAATCAACATCTTTATATAACACAACAATTCTTCTTCTTCTTATTATTATTATTATTAGCAGCATCATCATAATCATTGTTGTTGTCGTTGTTATCATCATCATCATTATTATCATTATTGGTAATATTAATTAACATCTGAAGAGACATTAAGATTACTGTGAGGATGTTTTGAAATTTTCAAGAGCTAGAAATTAGAAGTTTAATTTGATAAATCCATAAAGGGAAGATAAAGGTAGGTAAAGAACAACTTACTTCCGATTTTTATTATCCCTCTTCTCGTTTAGTTTCCTTTCTTCCTCTTTTCGCTCTTTCTCCTCTTTCTCCTCGAATCTTTTGATCTGAGCATTGAGTCTTTCCAATTCATGATCTGTTTTCCCATCGCCATTTGTTTCATGCACAAACCTGTAATTATAAGAAGACTGATTTGAGAAAAATCTAGCATGAAGTGGGCAACCACTGGTAGTTGATTCATGTGACTTTCAAACAAGATGCCTAAACTTTGTGTGTGTCCCGAGACAAGGAATTCTTTGTTAAGGTCTATGCGCTATTAAAGGCACTATGTCCATTTGTGCAGGCCAAAAAAATGAAAAGGTTAAATTCCAACAGCATTTGAAAGATAATATTAATTTAGAACTTTTAAATTTTTAAAGCAATTGCACTGATAATGTAACTGAAAGTATGAAAACAGTTTCAAAATCATAACTGTTGACATCTTGAAAGTAATTGCTTTAAAGGTAAAGACCAGTAATGGTCATGCGATTGCATTGTGAAAGAAACGTTGTGGAATCGATCAGAAAAGGTTGATCATCTAGCATCTAGCATCTGCAAGGTTCTGGAATCATCAAAATGATAAGAAATTTGGCCCATTCTTCGTAAAGTTACAAGCACTATACACAGAAAGATGTATATGGGACTACCCTATCTCTCTCACACGACCATGAGAGAAATAAATTTACCAAATATATGAATTAGTAGGCGGTTTCCCGGCAAATTTTTTATCATCATGTATTAGTCAAAACATATTCTTTCACATGATTGGTAATGAGAGCTTCCATTTCATTTTTTGAAATTGGGGCGTTACCAATACTGGTCTTTACCTTTAAAGCTCACAACTTGGAGAGGTAAATTTCCCATTCTCTTTTATATGATGTGACTAACTGACTTGAGGATATGAAAATAGTTTTAATATCACAATGCCAATACCACGACATCTAACATCTTGTTATGTAATGTAGTGGTGATTATTTTACCTGACTGCTAAGAAAGTATAAATGCTTGTCAGTAAGCAACCAGAGGACCGACGGCTTAAGGTCGTCTCAGAGAGACCTGGTAATGAGGACTAATACCTTACCAAAGGGCACTAGCGCATCGCCTTGGTTTCAAACCTGGGTCACCGGATTACGAGACCTCTACTCTACCGACTGAGCTATCGGGCCTCCTCGTAAATGATCACTGGTCGGTTTGAGAGCTTTGAACTTACTTTTTGACATCGTCCTCCAGCAACGTCTGTGCCTTGGCTGATCCCAGCTGCGCTCGAGCCAGGAACTGAATCAGCTTCTCATAGTTCACCTGGTCGGGGTTGGAACCCTTGGCAAAGTTGGAGAAGAGCAACCTCAAGGTTGAAATCGGAATGGGCACCTTGTGCTTGTGGGCGATCATGTTCATCTGGGGCTGGCTGACGAAGCCTAGCAATCCGTGATCAAACTCGGCAAGCTCCGTGTACATCTCCTTGAAGTGGAGAGGGTCGTACCCAATCAGGTGCTCCGAGACCTGATCCGTCAGAGAACGTTTGTTGTTGATAGGGGACAGGGCGGATGAGGAACCGATGTGAACTGGGAAGGGCTTCTGGAGGATGTCCTTGATGTTGGGAAGGTCTTCCTGGGCCATGTCTTCTGACCAGACGTCATCATCGTCACCGTGGTCATGGCTGTGGTCCGAGGCATGGATTGGAGGAAGGGCTCTAGATCCAACAATAAACAAAAGAAGCATTGAAGTGACAGCTTCTTTTGAGATCTATTATCATACTCTGTTCAACAAAACACCTTGGTCCAGAAACATCACTAATCATATGAAGTTATCTTTGGTAGATATAAACATATTTCAAAAGAGAATCATCAAAAATATATCCAGTTCTCAAGAAAAAACAGAAAAGAACAAAAAAATAACTCAAAAACCTTCAATTGATAAACGTCCCAATATGAAATAAATCAGAGTTATGATATATTTCAATCTTTAATTTTTGTTTCATTCCTTTTTGTTAAAGGTATTACAAAGTTTTGGTATGGGGTCATGAATTTGGTTAAAATTAACATATTGGAAGCATATGCGTTCCTACAATATTCACTGATCGTTGTCGCGGTTGAAATCGAGTCTAAAGTTATAAAATTATAAATAATAAACTCTTTATGTTGTATAGCTCCCTCTCAAGGTCAAGATATTAATTTAGCTATGAAACAATGTTTTTTGACTAAAATCGACCGAATAGCTATTCCCGTTTGGAAATTATATATCACAACTACATATTCTGAGATTTTCATGGTCGCAGCTACCATTGTACGGCCATAGGCGCTATTTGAAATTTATCAAAATTTACCGGGAGCACCGGTAAATTTTTATATTCAATTTTTCTCGAAAACAGAAGTGTGTTAGGTGCTAATTTTGTTAGTGCTTATAATACATCCACAGGGGCATCCAAATATATAAAAATTGTAAAGATTCACTATCCACCCAATTTTCAAAATTTCCTGAAACTTTGTATTACCTTTAAGAAAGGATCCTAAATATACCAACCTTTGGGCTCCAGGCCTGCCATCATAATGATTCCCTTTGCCATGGATGTGTGAGTTGCTAGAGTCTCTGGGTGCCGTCTGGGAGTAGATATTGCGGTAGTTACCAGGCAACTATGTTCAAACAGACATAAGTATTTCAATTGATTACATTTTGAAGACATATCTTAGGTAAAAGGGAGATATACATGTAGCTTTAACTATGAACCAATAATATTCAATAGTTAATTTAATCCTTTATTATTACAGTAAATAAATTAATGGTTTGTTGATGGTTGTAAATATATGTAGTTTTTAAATTTTAGTCTGATGAAGTGCACTTTAAGTAAGAAAAATTGCATAAACCACCTTCTCAAGGAATAACAAATGTTTTAAATGCAAATTTATGGTGTCAGGATGGCATCAACTAACAAACTCTAAAGTTTGTTGCCCCAAAAGAGAAAAAAGATTTTGTCTGCCTCACCATCAAAATAAACATTTTTTTTTCTTCAAATAAATAAAAAGAGAACAAAAGCATCTTAGTTTGTTTGTTTGCTTAATAATGCAAATTTATGGTGTCAGGGCATCAACTAACAAACTCTAAAGTTTCTTGTCCCAATAGAGAAAAAAGATTTTGTCTGCCTCACAAAATAAACGATTTTGTTTTAAATTAAAAAACAAAACAAAAGCATCTTAGGTTTGTTGGTCTACTTACAGGATTTGGGTTGTTATTGTAGTTGCCATGGTTGCTCTCATTCACAGGAGGCTGGTACTGCATAGGAGGGGTGCCATGGGGCCCTGTATGCAGAGACCCGGAGGAGACCCGGCTACCAACACTGTCAAGGGGTCAAGGTTCATAGGGATATTATCTTCTTATCTTAACATAATGGAAGCATTTCTCAATGGGAATACATAGGACTAAAAACTAACTTATCTGTCCAAGGTCATTTTAAAATAATTGTTAAATATTGAACGAACGAACAAAGCAAAGAAAAACACAAGAGTTAATAATCACGTTTTAATTTCCTTAATGCGCCTTAAAAGTTCATAGGGTTTTGACCACTGGATACCGGTACTTGATTTCACTTTTTTTTTTGTCCTTTCCTTTTCCTAACAAATTTGACATTTGTTGTTGTTATTATGTGTGTTTTTTTATCCTTCAACTGAGAAACTTCTAAGTTTAATTAATGCTATCAATTTATTTTTCATAACAGATAAATAAAACAGTGTTCATTTCAAGTATATACAGAGAAAGTTCTGTAAATGTTTACCTTGCAGGTGGAGACTTTACAGCTATTTCTACCGTTTTCCCACCAATGATTCTCGTCTTGACCGTTGGTTGGATGTCCGTCCCAAACGGAGCATTCCGTGCGTTGGACGCATTAGATCGTCTGCTCATGTTGGCCACTCTTGATCCATCCTGTGCCTAGGTTTAAGTACATAGTAAATGGTGAGTATGAACAAGGCCATGGAACATGCATTTATCCAACATAAGTTATTAAAGTTTGAAGAACATGTACTATAAAAGAAAGAATCATACCCTTTAACAGTGTGCAGTGTTTCAATTTGATTAGCGATTATGTAAACATTAATAATAATGGTAGTGTCTATACTGCCGAGTAAAGACTAAAGATTAAAGTTTCTTAATGCTTGCTTTCTTAATCTTCTAACAACATGTGGAAACAGGATGGTTTCAGGCGGTTGTATGAATACCCCCATACGATGATGATTGATATTCAGGCACCTTGCTGTCACAGACTCACAAGTCAGTCATCACACTGAATCCTTAAACCCACATGTTTAACGTCTCCATGTAACGTCCTATCCGAGGGACAGAGTGTTTTCCTGCGTCTATTAACAAGAGGAGGGGCAAGTTAACATACAATGCAGGCTTCAGTCATCCGCCTGGGTGGGATTCAAACCCGGGATCTTTGGTTCGACGGGCAGACGCTTTATCGACTTGGCCAACTCGCCTCCTGACCGTTACTTTTTATTTTTATTATTTTAACTGCACATATCACTAAACAATGTGCATATCCGGTACTATTGACTGTGCGCATCAACCCACAGTGCGTTAATCTTCATTTCAGGAAGCCTGCACTTTTCAGGAAGAAGAAGAAGAATGTCATCAAATCAATCCAGGATGTGTACCTAAACTCAAGTCAAAGTCAAACTGTTGTGTAGAACGATATTGGTACGTAAATTCTCATGAATCATTCACAGGGTATATTGTCTATTTAATAAATTACACATACCCCCAGGTTTGATCGCGGAATAGTGTGTACTTTAATTGTCTTAAAAATCAAAACGACAAAAACATAGGGCTAACAAAATAAGGAGTCCCGACAGGCGCCGGCCGACACCCATCCAATCCCCAACGCAAGGCAAGGGCAAGGCCATGGCCAAGTTCAGCTAGCAGCATAGCAGCTGCAGAAAATAGTGTTTAGACAATATAACTGATATTGTATAAGACTTAGATGCAGTTTAAATGTCGCTTTACGGTATAAAGAGTTAAATTTTATGTCCACATTTATTTTCATTTCTTAGAATCACCAAAATAATGTTACCTTTTGGCAAGGAAATCGTGTCGTCAGCTGCAGTGTTGTTGTGCTACCTGGCTACGAAACGCTTACGGCTACAGACAAATCTCATGTATTGACCAACTCGGCTCAACGCATATGCAGCGAGTTAGCGAGAGAAGGGAACATGTTCCAGTCTTTAGTGAGGCAGTCCGCAGACGTAGAGGGCCGGCTATTGCAGATTATAAAGAGATATATTTACTTTAATGGATGTGGGTATTATTATTATTAGTAGTATTATTAATTCTCTCTCGTGTACAGGTGGACAAACCGGAACAGGTTGCATGCAGTGTGTGTTGTCGGCGTGAAGGGGGTATGATGAGATGGGTGGGCTAGGGGGGGGGGGGGGGGGTTAAGAGTTTGTGTGGTGTGAGTTGAGGGAACAGGTTGCATGCAGTGTGTGTTTGTGTTTGTATGTGTGTTTATGTGTGTGAAAGGTGGTGTGGGTGGGCTAGAGGGGGGGGGGGGGGGGGGGGGGTGTGAAAGTGTTGTGATAGGATGGTAATATGTAATTTTAAACCTTCCTCTACTGTTATTTTGATTATTCACTGTTACATGCAAGACTTTTTTTTTCCTTTTTTTTTTCTCTATGTTCATTGAAATGTCTTGTATCAAAGATCTTGTTTTATATTGCTTATCTTGATAATTTCTTGTTATGTGAATTTCTTGTTATGTGAAAGTGTGAGGAAGGAAATAAAATATCATTTAAAACAAAAAAAATCTACACTTTAAATCTTCCTCTACTGTTATTTTGATTATACACTGTTACATGCAAGAATTTTTTTTTTTTTTTTCTATGTTCATTGATTGATGTAACTCATGAAGTGTCTTGTATCAAAGATCTTGTTTTATATTGCTTATTTTGATAATTTCTTGTTATGTTAATTTCTTGTTGTGTGAAATTATGAGGAAGGAAATAAAATATCATTTAAAAAAAAAAAAATATTTAAATCCTAGAGATATATTTAAATCAAAATGAACTCTTTAAATATATATATTATATATATAACTCTATGATTTAAATAGGTGCTAGAAGCACTGATATGAAATGAAGAGTTCAGTGGCTAGATCTAACCAATATCATTACTCGGGGGTGGAGCCGGGGGGGGGGGGTGGGGGCCGGGGTAATAATATTTTTTCTTGATGTAATTAGCTAAAGGAAAGCTCAACAACTAAGCTGTATAATATTTTCACAAACTTATGGATGTGGCGTGCATAATATATTCGTTTTATATCACATTGTTCGTTTTTTTTAAAAATAACTTCAGCATATGATCATGTATAATCCCCGAGCCTAAAAGAAACCATTAATTAATTAATTAATTAATTTTACAAAAAGTACTTTGGTCGGACATCGGTAGATTCGGATTCATAGTAGGAAAAATATTTGGCTCCAGTTAAAAAGAAACTTATGTCAACCATTTTCAACAAAACAAGAATGCCAATAGGAAAGGTCGAGACGATATAGGGAAATAGCAAGAGAAGGCTAATTAACGTACAAAAGATTGATGGTACATTGGTACCTGATCTATATTATAACAAAAATTGTTACCTGAGCACTGCAAATACATGTACAACAATGATGAAATATAAAAAGACAATTTTATTCATAATCAATTAGTCCCATAGGTTCCATTTATTTTTAAAGAGAGGCATATATATATATATATATATATATATATATATATAGCCCTAATGCTAAAGGGAAGGAAACAAAATAATTTAGACCAAAATGAAAAAGGAATTTGTTATAGCTGCTTCTCTTTCCATTCTCCTTCTCCTTTTATTTAGTTCTTCTTAAATCTAAATTGTTTGGTAAAATTTGTCCTCTTTGCATGGCCTTTGCTTTCCCTATCTCACCACGTTCTTTCTCTCTCTCTCTCTCTCTCTCTCTCTCTCTCTCTCTCTTTCTCTCTCTCTTCTCCCTCCATATCTCTTCTCTCGACCCTTTCCTCAATATAGGCCTATTTTGGTTCTATAGGACAATTACCCCCCTATATAGGCAATCACCCAAGGCAAATTACCCCCTTGGACAATTACCCCCCCCCCCCCCCCCCCCCACCCGAGGAAAATTTTCCTCGAGAAAAAAAATTCTGCTTTTAATTTTATCAAAACCAACTTATTACCCGGGTGGACTTCCCTTTCAATGAACTGAGGGGGGGGGGTGTGTATTTGTCCTCGGGGCTCGATGTCCTTGGTTATCCAGGGGGGGGGGGGGTATCACATTTGTCCTAGGGGGTAATTTTTTAAGGGGGGGGGGGTAATTTTTCAGGGGGTGATTGTCCTGATACGGCCTATTTTGATAATCTTTCTCTTCAGCCATTTATTGCGAAAGAAAGAATATAAAAATGAGACTTCCATGCATTCTACCTGAAAATAATTTAGCCGTTATACAATAGCCAGGTCTAATTAAAGCATGAGACAGTGCTCTTTTTATTTATCATAGTTTTAGCATGAAACTGAAATGAAGGAAGAACTTAGGAAGAACTGAAATGAAGACAATGCAAGCGACTCGGCTATCAACCTGTTTAATGGGGGGGGGGGGGGGGGGGGGGGGGGGGGGGGGGCGGGGGAGGGGTCTCCATGCCCCTCCCACACTGAATGAAAAGACTTATATATATATATATATATATATATATATTCGCTTCAAAAGTGAGGCCCTTTGATGAATTGTACAGACCCATTTTATTTGGGAGGTCACGTAGCGCACGAGTGAGAAAATTCAAATTCAACGTCCCCCCCCCCCTTCCAAGACAAAAATTGCTACAATGAAAAGAAATGGAATACGAAAGAAAGAACGAAAAGAATGAAAAAGAGGAAAGAGAGAGAAAACTATAATTACCATATGATTGTATATTTTCTACTAATTAGATCTGCTATTTCCGTTCGTATTAATTCCATAGATTTCCGTATAATTATAATCAAAAAATATATTACAAAATCCTACAAAATTTGAATTTTATGTTGGTCATAGATTCAAATTTTAGCAATTTTCTTTCTGTTTTCATGGTGTTGTATAACATTTGTTCGTGATAAAAGCTTCCGAAATAAAATTGTCTGCTAATTAAGAGGCAAAAAGAATGGTAGGCCTACCCCAAAGCTCTTCACACACTCACATTATGATTTTATTAATGCATTATGGCACTCGGATGATAAGGTTGAGGTGCTACACTTTTTGTCTAATTAAGTATGGCATTTTTATTACAGAAACCGCCAGAAGCATTATTTAAGGCATTGCATCATTGCAGTCTCATGACAAAAGTAGTGCAAAAATACATTTATTCATTTTTTTCATGGGTTCACTGACTTTAAAGGTCTTGCGTCGACTCACCGCAAACTTTGAAGTTCATCTACAGATGGTTGCTAGATGATGATTTTAAAGGTAAAAAGTTGAGTTGTGGTTTGGCGATTACATTATTACTTTGATTATGTAGTACAAAGTCAGGGGCGGATCTAGCTTTTTGTTAAGGGGTGGGGGTTCCAGGGGGATCCAAGGGGGCCCGGGCCCCCGGGCCCCTTCCCCTGGGAAAAAAAACAGTCAAAAACACGTTGATTTTACCTTATATTTTACCGTATATGGGCTAGACATACATGTGGCCTGAAAGTTTGGTCCAAACTAGTCAGCTTTTTCTCACCATATGTCAAACATGATGGCACGTTGAAGACCCATCCTTTTCAGGGGACAATTCTACTAGCACGAGAAGGTCTTTTTGTTCAAACAGAGATGCAAAGAATGATGAAGAGCACAAAATTATTGTTTTATCTTCATCAGAACTCGATCCTCTCTTAAATCTATCTCTCTGTGTTTAATACCGACCATAATTCCCACTCAACCATGTCGTGTGTGGAAGCTTTCTTTTCTTCAGCTTTGTCGGTTTTTATTTCAAAAGTAAAAATATTGAGGGAAGAGAGAGAGGAAAAAATAATTCTACTGTGGGTGTGAGAAGGTAATGAAAAATATTGATTTTAATCAGTGGAGAGGAGAGAGAAAGGGGTGGGAAAAGTCACTCAACCAATTTTGGGGAAAAATTGATCTGTTTGATTTGCAAAACTCACAGGGATGTAGATAAATAATTATATTGATCAGGTTTTTATAAGAATAAAAGAAGGATTTATCCAAAAATGAATTTGTGAGAAGGACATGCATTTACATTGAGTTTTTGATCAATGATTAGGCAGTATTCATTAGTAAACGAAAAGAAAAAAGGAAAAAAGGAAAACAAAAGAAACGGTGGTGGAAGAGATTGGAGAGAGAGAGAGAGAGGGTAAGAGCCTTAAAGAGGAGGGTGGGAGTAAAAGAGAGGGGGGGGTGGGGACTGAATTCAGACAAGGATTTAGTGTCGAGAATGGTACAACGAATTGTCTTCTTAATTTCTCTATTAGTTTAATGAAACGTGAAAACGTCTAATCTTCCGCGCTTCGCGCGGGAGGGGGAAAACTTTCATACAAGGATTAAGAGTCGAGAACGGAACAACGAATTGTCTTCTTAAAATCTCTATTATTTTATGAAACGTGCTCCCTGCACCCACCCCCTAAATAAAGCGCGCTTCGTGCGCTCTGTAAATAATTCGCACGTTTCGCGTGCTCACTAAAAATCCTAGCTACGCGCTTGCAATAATACTTTTCTTTTCAAAGAAAATAGAGGTTTGAAATTCGCAATCCCGAGAGTTTTGGGGCACTGGCGCTGCACTCTTTCCAATCACGCCCCACCGATTGATTGCTCCACAAGGTTGCACATTCAAACAGGCGCGTACGCAGGGGGGGGGGGGGGGGGATTGAACCCCCCTTCAAAAAATTATGCCAATGGCTGACCTAAAAAAGGTGACCTTTACCCCCCCCCCCCCCCAACGGAGCAAAATGTCAAACTTTCAAATTTCGAGACCCCCCCAAAAAAACAAAACAAAAAAAATGTGTCCTCTTACCCCCCACCCGGCCCCCCCCCCCCCACTCAGTGTTATTTAGGGTACGCATATGCGTGTTCCCTCTTTTTGAAAACACCCCCTAAGTCCGGTGTGTAAAGTCTTGTTTGTGTATGTACGAGTCGGACTTTGGTGCGTGAAAAGTACCTCTTTACGGGACATTTTGGTAA